AATAACTGGCATGTGTTGGAAACATTGCAGCTTATAACATATTTTCACATATGTAATTTAGTTTTATCTTCAAAACAAAGTCACAGGGCATTATTATTGTCTCCATTTTATAGATGAGGAAATTAAGGCTCAGAGAGATTAAATGCGGTGTCCGTGGTCATTTCTCTTAGCTGTTCTTCCTTGGCCAGGATTCACAAATAACAACATAGGGGCAACAACTCAGTCTTTATCACTACAGACTAGTGGTGAGGATAAAGAGAGAGAGTGAGCCAAGGGATCTCGAGATGTTGGGCTACTTAACTCCCAAGGGTGCTGACCTAGGCTAGCTCAGGACCCACGGGCAGCTCTTTCTGTGGAATGATTTGAAGAGTCCCTTCCAGAACCCCTAAGCAAATCTATTTCTTTGGTGTGCACTGTGCCTCGGTTTCCATCGCCACTCACCTCCTCCTAGTTAGGACAATGCTTCTTAAACTTTCCCAGGCTAGCCTTCCAATGGCTGGAGCACATAAAGGCCACTCTTGGGAGTTAGGAACAGAACACCAAGGGAGAGCTGGAAGAGAGACTTTTTTGAATCTGATGTTCTTTGTTAAGCATTCATGCACATTTCACATCTTTTCCCATAACAAAGGTGTGGATTTGTAAACCATCTGTGTCTTATTGTAAAAATAATTCTCAGGAATGCTTGCATTTTCATTCTCTGATTTCATATCATCTGGCAGATTGACTAATTTCACACTTTGAGAAAATGAAATTTAGGCATTATACACTCTGATTAAAATTTTAGATTGTACCTGACAATGATAGCACTTTAAGTCTTTGTCATCCATTAGTACAACTGTATTATCAGACTAACCTCAAAGAGAGGAGGACTTGAGGTTAGGAAGCTGAAAGGGAGCAAGAGGAAAAGTTTAAAATTCTGTGGCATTTCCAGATGCAGCTGATCCTTGGCTTAGACCTGAACACCACAGCAACAGGCACTTGCCACTGTGATGGTTCCCCAAGGCTGTGGTGTCACCTGGTCTCAAACTGTGGGTAGCAGCAACCAGAATCTGGATCTAAGTTTACTGACAGGATAGGAAGAATCTTGATTTTTCAATTTGGTAAGTATGTCAGCCATTTCCATTGTTTTGGAAATTTTTGAGGCTGCCCTTGATACATTCAATGTTAAGAACTTTCTTGTCTGCCATGAGGTAGGCAGCCTGACAGGGAAGTCTGTATCTAAGGCTGAGGCCAATCAAGCATGCAAATAGCACATTGTCCTACACCTTCCTTGTTAATATGAAAATGACTGATGGCCAGGGACTTCAGTTTAAATTCTGTGCCTATCTGTGATAAGGACTTCTACTATTTGCCAATTGCAAGAAGACATGCAATTTTGTTTTGAAAGCCACCCTAAAATGCACGATGACTTCCTTGGAGCTCATGACTTCAGTGAGAATTAAAATGCAGCTCAAGTTTCCATGAAAAATGTCAAAAACTGTAACATAGACTTAATCTGTGCTTAAACTTCTCTGATTGGATGCAGGATGGGCTTGACTCACCAACTCCATCAGATTTGTAGAGTCTCAGGAGATCTCACAGATCATCTACTCTTGTCACATTAGACACGGGAAAATGACATCTACACTGGTTGCTCTGCTGGTGGTGGCAGAGCTGAAGCTACAAATTGGGTCTCTAGACTCCCAGGCCCAGATCTGCCTGCTACACCCTGCTTTTAGCGAGACTGACCAAAGCAAGTTGTTTGTGTAGAAACTGCAGACATTTTGGCTTAGAGTCTACTACTGAAGTGTTGGGATGACTGGAGTCCTCACCACCAAGGCCAAGAACCCCAGTGCATCTGAAGCATTCGAGTGGCAGGCAAGTGATAAAGGTTAAAAGACCAGGTCATGGAGTTTTGTTTGCAGAGCAAAGACAAAGACATTGCTTGTGTATAATTGTGTCTTTATTTTGGGAAGTCTGGGGAATTGATGGAGATTATGGAAAATTCCAGGTCCCCTCAAATCCCTCCTGGCAATGTCATTACTACTCATCTGCATAGTCACTCTTAGCATCCCTGGAAAGAGATGGGGAATCAGTTTGTGGATTTCTTTTTAAATGTCAAGAAATTTCTGAGCTCCTCATATGGTAGAATTCACACTTTACCATCCACTGTGTCCGTAGGATATAGGAGTTAAGTGGCTTTAGGAGAGCAAAAACTTATACCATGTCCTTTACCAGTATTCTACCAAAACCACTGTACAAGTTCAATGCATATTAACCACATTAGAATAGAGAAAATATAAAGCAATAAAAGACACTATGGATACAGCTAACTCATATTGTGTCTTCGAAATTATGATAGCACCTACCAACACTGGAAAGCTAAAGGTATAAATATCCATGGTTGGTATTATTTATTCAGTATTTATTCAGGCTGCAGGAGATACTTTGTGTGAAGATTGCTTTGGCCCTGTTGCAATAATTGCTCTGCAGAGCCATTGGTCCAGAGTGCTGGTTCCTCTGCTATAGTGGAGAATCTCACAGACCTGGGTTCAAGTTCTGACTTTGCCTTATGATAACTGTGCCATCTTTGATAAATTGCTTAAGTTCTCTGACTTTAATGTCCAAAGGAACCTGACATTTGAAGGCTGTCAAATGAATTTCTTACAGTTTGCGCAAAGCAGAATAATAGTGTAAGTTACAGAGAGTCTGGACATTAATATCCTCATATCAAGAGGGACTCACAGCCCCACTACCAAAAGCAGGAAGAGAAATAATCTTCTTCTTCTTCCTGTACTGGAGTTTGAACTCAGGACCTCACACCTGCTAGGCAGACACTCTGCCACTGGAGCCACTCCACCAGCAGTCTAAATGTCTTCTTGACAGTTTGTCTAATTTCCAATTCTTTCTCCTTTCCAGAACTTTCTCATTGCATGTAGCCTAGAAGCCTCACATATGTGACCCAGCTCACTCTGCTCTGTGGGCCATGAACATAGTATCAATGTGATCTACAATGTACTGTCACCAGTAATAAGCTACGTGTTTCTAAGAGCTGCCTCAGGGCAGCTAGACACATATGAAACCCCCTACTAAAAGGGCAGCCCTGTCCAGGTGCCAGTGGCTCACACCTATAATCCTAGCTACTTGGGAAGCTAAGATTGGGAGGATCTCAGTTTGAGGCCAGCCCAGGAAAATGGTTCATGAGACTCCCATCTCCAAAAGAACCAAAGCAAAATGGACTGGAGGTGTGGCTCAAGTGGTACAACACCTGCTTTGCAAGCGTGAAGCCCTGAGTTCAAACCCGAGCCCCTCAAAACAAAAACAAAAACTTAAACTAAAGAAAGCAGCCCTGACTGCTGTGTGGCTGTGTAGCCACCCACAAGTCCTGAGCCTCAAGGCAGGGATCACCCATTGTCTCAGAACACCTTCCTGAACGCTAAGATCAAGGCCCTTAAAGCGCAGCCTGTTGTGCGTGAGAAAAGGCAGGCAAAACAAAAGTGGATGCGCTGAGAGCTTGCACTGAGCTCAGCCTTGTGGACATGTTCTCTTAGGAGCTGTGGTGTTTACTGCCAGGGAGTGAAAAGTTGTTTGACTCAGTGCCTTCATGTTCCATCTCCTGGTGGATGTGGTAAGGATTGTGTGCAGTCTTAGAAACTTTTCACACTTCTAGAAGGATCCAGGCCAGGCTTCTTCTTCCCTTCTAGGAAATGTGCTTTGCCTAGTTCAAGAATGTCTCTCCCATTTCCTATTTTTTTTTGGGGGGGGGTCGAACAGTGTTCTTCATCTTTTACTTGGGGAATAAGTGTAAAGAACAATACCCTATCCCTGAAGAATTTTTCACTCTGGCCAAATCCTTTTCTCCCAACATCTCTGAAAATTTGGGAATTGAGTACCACATTGCTACTCTGTGACTTTTAATTGCTCTCCCAGAGCAGGTAGCTACTGGGTCAGAGGTAAAATTGGATCGAGGAGCTAAGGTAACCTATCACAATCATGCAACATGATGGTAGGAGAGCCACGAAGTATTGGCATGGGAAATATGTGACACTGAAATGGGGAACTCAGATTTTCAGATAAATCACCAATTCAGGAATGAGAGCTGCTAGTATTTCCTGTTTATTTATCTGTTTTTAGGCTAATTATTTGCTTCTTCTCAAATTTAGAAGATGTTTGCCTAGTACCATTTTAGGTATCCAGAAACAATCCACCAAATAGATGCCTCCAGTACAACATGAGGGCTCATTAGATTAATTAATTGGTAGTGGTCCATAAACACTTTGAAGCCCTTCTATTAAAGGAGCCACCTAAATCCAAAATACCATTATAATCAGGTCTGATGAGGTCAGTGGTTTAAAGAGAGGGCTTTAAACCATATATAAAGCTCTTCAACCAATTGTTGGTACAGGACAAAGATAAGAAGAGGCAGGTGAGTCTACGTGCTCATGTTTAAAAGCTTCCTTCATGGTGGTGGAGCCACACTGGAGTCTGCTCAGTTGAAGCCGGAGGCATGGTGATCGAATGACTAATGGATTCTCCAATTGATAAACCTTGGTTATAAGACGAAGGTCATTACACTCTAAAATCTTGACCTACAAAACACCTTCTCAAAGAGAGAGGGAGATTTTCTCAGGAAGGCAGCAAACAAGGTAAGTGCTGGCTTTCTGGTATCTTTTAAAACTTATAAACTGTCTTTTGAATGAAATCAAGAAAGAGACTTTTAAGGAAGAAATAGAGTACAACAAAGCTCTTGTAAGTGTGTGTGTGGTAGCATACGTAAAATGTGCTTGGGCTCATGTCAATATGAAATTTGATTGAAATGAGGAAAGTGAGTGATCCAATAAGCCATATGCCGAGACTGTGAGAATGCTATCTCGGAACCGGAAAATGGGTCTATAATTGGTAATGACTCTAAACTATTTTTTTTAAATCAAAGAACTTCCCTTTAAGAAACCTTCAAGTTTTAAAATTAATCTGCTTCTATTTCAAACCAGAACACATCTCATAGGATAAGATTTGCCACCATGCTATCCTCTGTCGTGTTTTTGGGACTTATTGCCCTCATCGGTAAGTCATTGATTGACATTTATCATGGTTCTCAGGGTGCCTATGAAACATTCAGCATAGTCATGAATCAGAAAGAGCAATGGAAGAATGGGGTCACCTGACCTGCTCAGTCATTAACCAACTGCTATTACTATAATTAAGAATGTATGCTGTTTGCCAAGCAGATGAAGGAGCTATCAGTGAGGATTTAACGTAATTAAATAGTAATTGGTCTACTTACTTACTGTCTGACAATGCACCTAGTAGGTTTGATGTCTTATCAAAGAGATGATGGAGGCAAGACATATAAACAGAAAATTATCAACACCAGGCAGTAGGCAGTCAGTGAGTTAAATGAATCTCCTAGGGCTGGGGGCAGGGGAGGCTGAAATGGTAGAAAGCCTGACTAGTAAGTGTGAGGCCCAGAGTTCAAACCCCAGGACCATAAAAAAAAAAAAAGAGTTAAGTGAGTATACAGAGAAAAAACCCCCTCTGTTCCAGAAGGAAGTTAGGAAGAAGAGCTCAGGGCTAGTGGAATGGCTCAAGTGGTAGGAAGAAGAGCTCACATTTAGCTAGGGAGTTCAGACCTGAAAAGCTTTGGAGGAGGACATGAAGTTGAAGGATGCTTGGTGATTTAACACAAGAAGGAAATACAAGAAGGAAAGAGCCTGCTGGTAGGGAGGAATAACTCAGTCAAGGCACAGAGACAGATGCTTTGGATATAATAAGCAGGTAGTGTGCCCAGAACAGAAGAGGGGATTCCTAAGAGGATGATTGGTGATTGGTAAGGGACCTTGAATTAGGAGAGAAGGAAACTTTAGCCTAAGAAAATAAAGAGCCATAGTTAGCAATATTCAAGTTGTCTTTATTTGTAAAGTGGTGATTGAGATGAAAGGATTTCTGAGGGTTGATGGAGTGGCTTAAGTGGTAGAACACCTGTATAGCACAAAGGCCTGAGTTCAAACCCCAGTACCACCAATTAAAAAAAAAGGACTTCTAAAATATTTAATTCTAAATTTGAAAATGCGAACTTGCCTAAAAGCAATAATTTGTAGTTACTTATGGGCAAAAGCAGGGTAGCATAATTTTAAATTTTTACTTGTTTTTAATTGCCAGGTGGAAGCAGAGTTATATAGACAGTGGATTAATCATGAGCTATCATACTGTGTACAACTGAAGGGTGACTATAATTTTAAAAAGGGCCCATGGGGCTGGACGTGGTGGCTCACATCTGTAATCCTAGCTAGCTGGGAGGTAGGGGTTAGAGGATTGTGGTCTGAGGCAGGCCTGGGCAAAAGTGTAAGCTCTTTACCTGACAAGCAAACTGGGTGGAGAGGGGGAGTAGTTCAAGTAGTAGAGTGCTTTTAAGATCCTGAGTTTAATCTCTAGTACTGACAAAAAAAAAAAAAAGACTTGGGTGTTCATGATAGGTTTATGGTCATATTTCAGCTCCCCTAAAGCAGTGGTTCTCAAACTTCATTCAAAATTCAACTGAGAAGGCTAATTAAAAGTGTGATTCTTTGGCCCGATGTCGTCAGCTTCTGATAGCTTCTGATAGCTGACAACATTAGGCCAAAGAATCACACTTTTAACTAGCCTTCTCTGTAGGTCTCTCTCTGATTCTGTAGGTCTGGTATGAAGAGCCCTGGGCTAAATGTTTTTAATAAGCATTCCAGGTCACTCTGATGTCTGTGGGTTGTGGGTCACACAGTGAGGATGGCAAAGGCTGCCTCCCCAATAAAATGGTGGTGAACTATAAATATAAACATAAAAATGTAAGATAAAGGAGGATAAATGAGGTTAAGCCTCATTCTTTGTGTTGTCTTTTTAATATAGGTAGACAAAAAGGATCTCTGATAAACTAACATGTTTGGGTTTTTTTGATGTGGAGACAGAACCCAGGGCCTTGTGCAAGCCCAGCACACCTTCTGCCACTGAGCTACGCCTCCAGGCCCCCTGATAAAGTAATGTTAAAGAAAACTTTTAGCCATAGAATTTTCAGACACACAAAATAGATTTGTATAGTAAGCCTTCATATACCTATAACCACCACCGTTAAGAATTTTTAACATTTGCTACTTTTATTTTATCTGTCCCTCATTCCTACCTTGTTTTTTTTTTTTTGATGTATGTGTGTGTGTCTTTAGTTGGAATATTTTAGAGCAAATGTACACTGTCAAAACACTTCACCTGTAAAATTGTACATGTTTCTAACATGTAAGGACCACCTCTGGCACAAGAAAATGCTCCTTGCTTATCTTACGCATTTCCTGTCCCAGACCAGGAATCAGTCATTTTCCCAGGAGAACTGGTTCTGCTTAGCAGGAAATGATATGTAGAGATCACAGTTTAGGTTCCTAGGATGCTCCACTGCTGTGGGGTTGTCATTCCTTCCAGGTCTTTTCAGAGTCAAGAACTAGAAAATGCATATCTTCTTTAAAATGGAAAAATAATTATGCATTTGCAAAAATATTTCATATTCACATTTAAGAATGTAAGGATTTTATCTGGGTTTTATATCTATACCTATTATCTTTCACAAAAAATCTTGGCTCTAGTAACATTATTACTTTTTTGTGTATTTAAATGTCAAAATAACTGTAACATTATTATCAACCAACAGTGAGTCTTTGAATATAGTTCATGATTTTCTTATGATTCTTTGTATTCATGTGATTGTAGTCCATTAGTGGTATATACTTACACTGACATGTTGTGAAATCATATGAAATAACTCTCTGATCTAATTATGCTTTCAGTTTGATGTAGAGTTGGGTCTATTATTTTTCTTCTTTGTGATTCCTTTTTTCCTATTCAATTTAATTTTTAAAATTATAGCAACATTTATACAGTTCCAAAGTAAAAACTGTGAAAAGGTACATTTAGAGAATTCTTGTCTCTATTCCTGTCCCTTTTACTCTCTTACCTTACCCCATGACCAACAATTCTTAGTAGCTTTTGGTTCGTCTTTGTATTGTTTCTTTGAAAATATAAGCAAATTACATAGGCATGCGCAATCATATTTCTATCTTTTCTCACACGAAGAGTATGATTCAATTAAGACTATTCTGTGCCTAGAGATAAATTTATGGTAATATATACAGATCTTTCTCTTTCCATTTAATACCTGCACAGTATGCCACAATGTAGTCATAGCATTACTTATTCAGTCAGTCCCTACATTAGTGACAGTTACATTGGTTCCTGTCTTTTGCTATTACACAGTACTGAAAAGGAACAGTCTATGGCAAAACCCCACTCTACAGCAACATATGATTTGGTTGAGTGTCCCCTAAAGGTGTTAAATGCTTGGTCCCCTGGGTGGCATATTGGGAGATACTGTGGACCTTTAGGAGGTGAGGCCTTATGAGAGGTCATTAGGTCATTGAGGACATGTCCCTTAAGTGAATTGTGGGATGCCAGCCTCTCAATCTTTCTCTGCTTCCTGGATCATGATGAAGTGGTTCACTCACTATGTACACCCACCAACACATGCCCACTAGGTCCTCCAAAGATCAGGGACACCTGATCTTGGATCAGAGGCTCCATAACTGTGAGCCAAAATAAGCCTCTCTTTATTAGCCTCTGTCAGGTATTTCATCATAGTAATAGAAAGCTGACGAATATGCTGCCAGCTTCCTCAAAGCCTCACCCACACAGTGTGTCAGACTTTTGGCTTATTGCCAATAAAAGATTGAAAAATGCTGTCTTTTATAGTCTTTTTTTTTTTTTTCAGCACTGGGGTATGAACTCAGGGCCTCATTCTTGCTAGGCAGGCTCTCTATGACTTGAGCCATGCCTTCAGCCCTGGGATAGTAAGCACACTATATAAATTTGGCAGTACTGGAGTTTCACCTCAGGGTTTGCACTTGCTAAGCAGGTGCTCTACCACTCGAGCCACAGATACAGCCTACGTGGAAAATCCATTTCTTAGAGTGTATAATGGCTTTGCTGGTTTCTGCTACTTTTATTATCTGGATAATCTTTCTCACTATCCCAATTTATGTGATAGTTTCATCATCTAACTTTTTGGTTCATTCACAATTCCTTTTTTTGCCTGTTTGTGAATAAGAGAAAGTTATGCCTGCATTTTTATTTGCTTTAAAGAGTTTTACTTCTTAAAAAATTACATGCTTTAAAAAAGTTAAGTTTTAAGACTTTTTGTTTTCCTTATAAAACAAATATTAGAAAGAAGAGTTCCATTTGTTGTAAACCTTATTTTAAGAGAGTGTGTAGGCTCTTATATTATTATATTGATTAGAACTATACATATGGTAGGTGGAGCAAATCCATCTCTATTAAAAAAAAATCATTGTTTACATAACCATGTGTGGTGGGGGTACATCTGTAATCCCAGCTACTTAGAGGCAGAGACAGGAGAATCATGTTTCAAGGCCAGCCCAGGCAAAAGGTAGTGAAACCCTATCTCAAAAACAAGCTGGGCATTGTGTCGTGCCTCTGGTCCCAAATACTCTGAAGGCAGAGTAGATAATTAGAGGCCAGCCCAGGCACAGTCAGCATGAGACCCTATCTCAAAGACAAACTAAAAGCAAAAGGACTAGGGGCATGGCTCAAGTGGTAGAGAGCTTGCTTAGAAAATGTAAGACCCTAGGTTCAAACCCTAGTACCACACACACATGAAAAAATTGTTTACATTTTTGAGACAATAGCTTTTTTACATCAAATATTTTAACAAAGCCACTTTCTTATAAATGTTTATAATCTTAAGGTACAAATCAGCACTCATTAAAACTATAAGAATAAACTTGTCAACATTAGAGAAAATAATATGTTTCCTTTAGCAAATAGACCTGAACAGAACTATTCAGGTCAAAATGAAACAGTAAAAGTTAAGAATAGATTTAACTTTAGTAGTCATGGTAATTAAATTTTTTACTTCTGATTTTATTAAATAGACTTAGAAACAACTTCACATTAGCATGACATAGGATATGCTTAACTAATTATGGTTCCTTTCCTTCTTATAGTTCTTAACAAAGGCACATTGTGCAGCTACAAGTTTACCTCTATAGGAGCATTTGTATTAGAAATGTTTTAAAATTTTTCTTGAGGTTTTTGCTTAAATAGCTTGTGGTGGGCTGTAGATGTAGCTCAGTGGCAGAGCATGAACTTATATATGGGAAGCCTTGGGCCCAATTCCCATCACTGAAAGAAAACACAAATCTTGTGGCAATTTTAATTCTCATCAAGACTTTAGTGTACTTGAGACCAGTACAGATTGATTTTCATAAGACTTTGCATGGTGTTTTAGAGTTAAATGCTGTATTAAAAACAAAACAAAGTGGAAAAAAAAAAACCCCAAGAGGTTGAATAGAGTAGGAAGGGGCCATTTCTACTTTATCTGATGAACCATGAATGTTATTAAAAAAAAAAAGATACTTAAGGAGGACTAATCTATGGCCTTCACCTTTGGTTTTGGGGGGTGTGTGTGTGTTTTCCTCATAGCAGCTCAAGCAATATTTTCTCACAGATTTCATTAAGTTATCATTCTCCCTCCCAGGCACTTCCAGGGGCTTATACTCTTTCACTTACTCCATGAACCCGCGCCTGCATCCTCGCCTGTACCACGGCTGCTATGGGGACATCATGACCATGGAGACCTCTGGGGTCCCCTGTGAGATAAACAACTTGATTAGCTGTGGTAAGTGAAAATAGAGCAGATATTTCCATCATTTTTAGAATCTTGCTTAGGAAGTAACTTAATTTGGAAAAGGTGTCATCATTACTGTAACAATCATATCAAAATTAAATGTTAAAAATAAAGTCCTGCCCAATATAACAAACCATTTCTTTTCATTCCCTCACCCCCATTCTTTCCAGACTTTGTCCAGATGTGCTTATTTCTACATATTGAAACTATTCTCTAAATAAAATGGTAGATTCTGGCTTTGTTTTTGTTTGTTGTTATGCTTAATTCATGCTAGAGCACAGCATTTTAAGCAAGATCTTTGTACTTCCTCTCCTTTAAAATCTTGTTCCAAAGTCTTCTTTATGACATTATCCAGGTATTAGAGGGTCAGCGCTAGAAGGAGCCACAAGGTCACATGGAACCCTGCACCCTCAATTCACAGATCAGAGCACTGAGGTTCAGCAGGGAGGAGCAACTTCCCCTAGCACAGAGCTAGGGGTGGCACATCCAGGCTAAAACTCAGATTGACTGACTCCTAGTCCTCTCAATGCACCAGCAAGGCAGAAAGGAGAAGCAGAGCAACAGTGGCACCTGTTGAGGTTTGTGGACCTGACAGTCAGAGATCAAAAGGATGTCTTAGAATAGTTGTCCCAAGCTGTAGGCAGTGGTCAAGGACTGTGGCTAATTTAGTGAACTTTGAGAAAGGGTCTTCTTCTGGAATAAACAGTTTCTTTTCTATTGGCAGGGATCCATGGTTCTGAAATGTTTGCTGAGATGGATTTGAAGGCCATAAAGCCTTATCAGGTCCTGATCAAAGAAGTGGGGCAGAGATACTGCATCGACCCTGCTATCATTGCAGCCATCATCTCCAGAGAAAGCCATGGTGGAACTGTCTTACAAAATGGCTGGGACCACAGGGGACTTAAATTTGGCTTGATGCAGGTACATAGCTGGAGACATTTCCACTAGCCCCACTTCTCCTTCCTTGCAGAAGGATGAAGACACCCTAGTGTCTTCCTTGCAGACACCCTAGTGTCTGGCTATAGGGACTTCAGCATAATTTATTCTATGATTTCCATAACACATTTTTGGTATTTCACTCAAGGCTTATCAGTTATTGCACATTTCTAAAAAGTGTTATATGTATAATAATTATAATTCTGCACTAAGTAATATGCAATGTACTTCAACTGGGAAAATTTTATAAAGGGCACTATTATTACAGATGTTCTCTTGGGGTTCCTGAAGTAGAAAATTTCATCCATGTGAATTGAAACAAACACTATAATTAAGTCCTACTTGAACCAACTTGTTCCTTTGGGTTAACTCGAAGGGGATAAAAATTATCTGGGTACTTGCTGTAAGGTTGAATTTTATGTATTTGTTTATTTTTTGCTTTTTAAAAAGATCTTTATTGTATCTATAGTTGTATGCTCTCTTTTTTTTTTTTAATTTTTATTTTATTCATGTGTGCATACAATGTTTGGGTCATTTCTCCCCCCTTCCCCCACCCCCTCCCTCTCCCTCCTTACCCCCTCCCTACCCAGCAAAAACTATTTTGCCCTTCTCTCTAATTTTGTTGAAGAGAGAGTATAAGTAATAAAAGGAAGGAACAAGGGTTTTTGCTGGTTGAGATAAGGATAGCTATACAGGGAGTTGACTCACATTGATTTCCTGTGCGTGTGTTACCTTCTAGGTTAATTCTTCTTGATCTAACCTATTCTCTAGTTCCTGGTCCCCTTCTTCTATTGGCCTCAGTTGCTTTAAAGTGTCTGCTTTAGTTTCTCTGCATTGAGGACAACAAATGGTATCTAGCTTTTTAGGTGTCTTACCTATCCTCACCCCTCCCTGTGTGCTCTCGCTTTACTCATGTGCTCAAAGTCCAATCCCCTTGTTGTGTTTGCCCTTGATCTAATGTCTACATATGAGGGAGAACATACGATTTTTTGGTCTTTTGGGCCAGGCTAACCTCACTCAGAATGATGTTCTCCAATTCCATCCATTTACCAGCAAATGATAACATTTCGTTCTTCTTCATGGCTGCATAAAATTCCATTGTGTATAGATACCACATTTTCTTAATCCATTCGTCAGTGGTGGGGCATCTTGGCTGTTTCCATAACTTGGCTATTGTGAATAGTGCTGCAATAAACATGGTGTGCAGGTGCCTCTGGAGTAACCTGTGTCACAGTCTTTTGGGTATATCCCCAAGAGTGGTATTGCTGGATCAAATGGTAGATCAATGTTTAGCTTTTTAAGTAGCCTCCAAATTTTTTTCCAGAGTGGTTGTACTAGTTTACATTCCCACCAGCAGGGTAAGAGGGTTCCTTTTTCCCCGCATCCTCGCCAACACCTGTTGGTGGTGGTGTTGCTAATCATGGCTATTCTAACAGGGGTGAGGTGGAATCTTAGTGTGATTTCAATTTTCATTTCTTTAAGGTTGTATTTTTAAATCACCTGATGAAACCAGACTTCTAGACTTCTCAGTTAGAAACAAAAGTTTGGTTTTCTCTTTTTTTTTTGAGACAGGGTCTCACTATGTAGCCCAGGCTGGACTTGAACTTGTGATCCTCTTGCCTCAGCCTCCCAAGTGCTAGGATTATAGGTGTGTGCCCCTGTACCCCACTAGAAATAAATTTTTATTTGAATTGGCTTAGATAGCTATTTTTTATTAAAATATCAAGACCTTGAGTGGAATTTATTTTCCAACAACTTTTCCCCTCCTCTTTATCTTCTTTTTGTATATTTCAAGTCTTAGCTAAAGCCATGCATTTCCACTTCTCCCAGACCTTACTTTATTTCTTTGACTCTTTTCTCTATGAAAGACAGGCCAGTAGAATTGACTTTGGCAGGGATAAATGAAAGAAGTCCAGGCCCAGTGTCTCTGAAATTGAACACAAGAGGAGAAATTATGAACAACAGAAAAATGTGTTACCTTGTCGAGATACTAACATTATTGTCTGAATTTTCTAGCTCGATATACAAGTTCACCATCCTATTGGTTCCTGGGACAGCAAAGAACACCTTTTACAGGCTGTTGGGATTCTTGCAGACAGAATTAAGGCAGTCCAGAGAAAATTCCCCACATGGAGTGTGTCTCAACACCTCAGAGGTAGGCATACTTTCAGTGTTTTGTTTAAATGGCAGTGAATGAGACAATATATTAAATATGGAATGTGTCTTGAGGCCCCCCGGGGGCATTCCTATTGGGTCAGCTGTGGAGTGAGAGGAGTTACGTAAAGTTGCAGTAGCATTCTCTGAATCATGGTGTTACTTCAATTTTTACCAACTTCCTTTACTCTCCTGCAAGATATTGGGAGTCTTAGTGCATCTCTGATCAGTTGTTAAGCCACTGAGTGGTGTCTTGGGAGCTGATGCAGTAGTTTAAATGAATCTGTTTACCATCTCATAGTTTTTTTCCTGATACAAAAAGCTATTAACCATTTTCAAAATTGTTTGAATAAATTTTTGTCTCTGAGCATTCTCATGACTTCAGGTACCCTAAGAGGTCCAAGTGGAAATCTTGGTTTGGCTGATCATAGCCCCTCAAGTTCAATGTCTCACAGACAGAACAAACTTTCTAGCCTCCCACTATAAATTTGCTATTTTGTTTGTATTTTCTGTGTCTTTGGAGGCATCATAATGTAGACAGGCATCCTAGCCAGAAAATTAGATTTTTTTCCCTTAGGCTCATTGGCTTCTCCTTTCTTCACTTCCAACCACATCAACTCCTAAGGTACCTGCTGTAGACCCATAGTATGTATTTACTTTACTTCCTTCCATATATTAACAGTCTAAACTCAGAATAAATAGTTGTCTATTTTAAGGTCTTTGAATGCAGCATCAGGACAGGGTCATCTCTTGACAGCACTATTACGCTAATAGATAAGTAACTACTGGGAAGATAAAATTTAGGGTACAATAGCAAGTGCATGTATACAAACTGTGTGAGAAAATGGATACTATAATCATGGGTACCCTGCATTCAGTGTGGCACCTCTTATGACACATAGTAGGTGCTTCAAACATTTACTGGCTGAATGAATGAGTGAATTATTGAATAAATGAGAGAATATCACAATCTCAGACTGGAGATTTACTAGGTATCTAGTTCCTCCAGGCCTGGACTACATAAAAAGCAAAACAGAGAGAGAAGATAGATGAAAGGAGAGGAGGGAAGAAGGGAAAGGAGAATTTGGCGCTGCCTGCTTCGGAAGATTTGCCTACAGGGTGGATGTCCTGGGAATGCTCTTATTGTACTTCTGCCGACAATTAATATTGGAGTCTAAACCCTTGTATTTCATTTCAGGTGGTCTTTCTGCCTTTAAGTCAGGAATTGAAACCATTGTCACACCCGTGGACATAGATGCTGACTTGGCTAATGATATTATTGCCCGAGCTAAATTCTATAAAAAACATGGCTTCTAGGCAAAGCACTGTGGATGGGCCACATTGGCAGGGTACTCAGATGCCCCTTCTTTGAGAGTTTGATATGAATAAGTTACACTCAACACTGGCAAAGACATGATTGAACAAGAAACAAAATCCATTTCCCAATCATTTTCACAAAAGTAAGCACTAAAAAAAAAAAAAATGAAAAGAAGAAAAGAGAGGCTGGAGATGTAGCTCAGTGGGAGAACACTTGCCTCACATATGCAAGGCCCCAATTTTGGTTCCCAGAACTGAGAGAGAGAGAGAAAGAAAATTCACGCAGTTCATAATATGGTTCCCATGAAATGTGCAGAGGCATGCGTATAACTGCCATAATTGCCTTGTGGTCAATGTGAATATCATGGCAAGTGACGTCTATACATTCCAGCAAGGCCTCATTTTATCCTACGATTTCAACACCCATTTATACCCTATCTATCAGAATTACTTATAGGAAGTTAAATGAGCCTGGCCTGAGCCTTTGTCCTTTTCCCAGTAGCTACCCCAATCCCTAGGGCTTTGGATATGAGAATTTTCTGATTCACAAGCCAATGAAAACTTAGGAATGGAATTCTGGTTCCATAAGTAACTGAGAGCTGACCAAGATGATGCTGACCTACAAATGATGCACAGCACATCCTTCAGGCCCACACCAGCCTCCTATGTCTCCTTCTCATATTTGCTGAAGATCCATGGACTGTCTTCTTTTCTCCTATTTTCAGTAGCTGCTGCCATAAACTCCTTCTAAGGGGTTTGTTGCCCACAAAACTTGGCTGAAAATAAGCATTTTGGTTCCTGAATTAATTATGGTTCTTTGGTTACAAGCAAAAATATAACTACGTATGGAAATTTTAAGCAATAAGAAGAAATTGCCAGAAAACTACCAGAAGACTCTCAGAACCAAACAAGGACATGAAGAGAAACCAGACAACTCTGGGGTCAGGGAGCAGTAATACTTGACCACATTTTTATAGCATCCTCATGCTGATGTATTAGCACCCTTGCTGCACACACTCCCCATCTTTTCATCATTCTGCTTCACTTTCATTGTCCAAGGGGAGAGACTCTGGTTAGTTTGCCTTGGGTCAAATACACAACTACTCCTTGGATACTTTGCTCGTTGGACTTTCCCAGACTACCTAAAATGGAGAAGAGACAATTCTATAGAAGGAAATTGGGTGCTGTTTGTAGCTTTTACTTGCATAGTCAAAAGAGGACACAATAATATGCAATAATAATATGCATAATAATTGCAAAGTCCCTGCTGATATGGTTCCTGCTGAGCTTTTAGCTCTCTTTGGAGATATTCAGTGGATGTTTCTACCCATCACTTTCCTTTCTGAGAAATAATTAAAATCATATCCCACACCCTCCACCTGTGAGCCACCTTGGAGAAAATCAAGTAAACTCTTCTCTGCCCAATGACCTCTCAACCCAGCCTGAAGATCTGGCCTGGGAAGAAACAGAAATCTGTTTCACTGGGAGGAGCCAATGATCAGTTGGTGTGGCAGTCTTCAGTGTAATCATCTTTTATGATTAGTTGGAGCCCACTTGTACCACTTGTTAAATATTTTATTCTTATTCTTGCTTGTGGAAAATCCAGGATATTCTTCAGATGTCTACTTTGCTCAAGAATACTTTCTTCTGGGCTTTGTCCCTAGATGCATCGCATTTCATCTGATTTATCAGTCCTTTCATTCAGTTGTCATATTGCTAGAGTAAAGTATAGCCACAAAAGATAATGTTCAGGTATTTGAAAAACAAGACTGACTTAGCCTATGACTAAGTGCTTTCTTTATGGCTGAAACCCTGAGAAATGTCCTGTGGGAAGCCCTGTACTCAAGATATCAGTTTGGTTCCCCAAAAGCAGACCCTAAGACAAGAATCTGAGTACAGAAAGTTTGCTTGGGAGGCACAGGAACACTGGGATGAAGTGGCTTAGTGATACAGGTAAGGAAAGATAGCTAACAAAACATGTTGCATCAAGTCAACTATCACAGTGAGCAATGGAGCTCACCCTTGCAGGAAAATTGTGAGGAATGGTACCAAACACACACCTCAGAATTGCTCTACCAAAGGACAGGAGCTGGAGTGTTTACACATCAATTCCTGAGAGTCATTGGTTGAGGGATCTACCTTTAGGGGTATGTATGGGAGGGGGCTGTAATTCCTTGCAACTCTGATCTGCTAGTCTGATCTGCTAGGCAATTAGACAGAACACTTTTCTGCATTTCCAAGGACAAGAGGCTGTTAGTACAGGGATGCAAATTAAGACAGCATCTGCTTTACGAGGGCTACACCTGGAGGCCAAAACATCCCTCCAACACTGGTGGATTTCTTCTATGACTTAACAACATGGCACAAATATCTGGAAATAACATACAAGCCCCATATGCCTCATGATTTCCATGCCAAACTTCTGCAAATCTATTAGAATGATTAACTAGATGTACATGTCTATATCCTACTTTGTAAAATGTCAGTTCTTTTAGTTATCAAAAAACCAGGCTCTCAGGAGGCTGAAAATTGTTTTATAGTTTTAAAAGCAAAAAACAATGTAAAAATGTTTCCTTGGCTGTACTTATTCATGATTACATTTTCATCCTTTCTTTTTCTTGGTCATTAAAGCCTCACACGCCAAGAGACCTGTGACATAATAAGAACTATGTATTGGTCTCTCCAAGATTGTGCATAGGAAGCAAAGGAAAGGCGTTCCAGACTCCACACTTGTGAGTTTGAATAATGATCTCAACACTGATGTTTAGTCTTGTGAGGTATTGGTGTCTTCTGTTCTACTAGATTGGGGGAACATTTCTAAGTCAGATACAACATCCATCCCCATTATATAGTCAGATAAAGAGACTATGTCACATAGAGTCTATACAAATATACTAATTCTCCTACAAACTTTTACCATACTCCCATAAACTCATATGTTCCTAAATGGAGCCTCCATTAGGATTTTATTGATAGGTGTTTGACTTTACATAGGCATGTCTATCCTCATAAAACATTCAGTAAAGATCACACAACTTCTGTACCTAAAGCTTTTCATAATCCTATCAACCCCTACATTTCTGTGCTCTCAGGCTAACTATATAGCCCACAGGAGGGCTTCATCAATAGGTTTTGGTACCACAGTGCATAGGGATCCCATATCAAAGAGTCCTGGGAACTTCTTTGTCCCCTGGTTAATTTACTCACTTTGTGTACATAAAGCTTTGGATTTCCAGTGAGGGGTCCAGCAAAGGGACTCTAGTCCTTTCGTCTATCTCTATCTTGATTAACCTGCCTAACTACTACCCTAGTGATTGCTGGTCAGATTTCTCTTTGTGAACTTTGCCTTTTACTTTTGAAAATTTCTCCAAACTTTGGTGAACTGCTATAGTTTATATCTAAAATAGTCCTCAAAGGCCAATGTATTAAAAGTTGTCTCCAACTTAGTACTATTGGGAGGTGGTAGACTGTTTAAGAGATGGGGCCCAGTGAAAGGTCTTCTAGTCACTGGGGGCATGCCCTTGATGGGGATAGAAGGACCTCAGCCCCTTCATCTCTTGTCCACTCCTGGCTGCCATGAGCTGAGCAGCTTTGCTCCACCATACACTCTCTGCCATTTTATGCTTTCTCGTTCCAGGCCCAGAAACACAGGCCCCAAAATAACAGGTTAACCAACCATGAACAAAAACCTCCCAAACTATGAGCCAAAATGAGCCTTTTATCTCCTTGAGTTTTCTCATGGTATTGTTGTTGTTACTGTTTTTGTGGTGCTGGGCATTGAACCCAGAGCCTTGTGGATTCTAGGCAAGGATCCAGCCACTGCACTTCACCCCCAGCCCCATATTTGTCATGCTAACAGGAAGCTGACATAGAGCAGGCTTTTTGGAGGCTCTTTAATCTTGGGGTCCAGCAGGAGTCTCTATGGAACCCAGACCTTTTTGTGATTCAGCAAACAATCATCTAAGGATTTCCACCCTGCTGGGATGAGTTCTGAGATTCTCCTTTTGTTTTCCTTCATTTCAGTCCAGTCATATTTGCTTTATTCATCAATTCTTAATAAATGTTTTAAAATTCCCATCCTTCTAAGACCAGTTCTTTAGCTCTCCCCTCATTCTTTCCCCATTCTTTTCTCAATTAACCAATTTTTTTTCTCAGCATTTATGACCCCCGAGGGGAAGCTGGGACAGAAAGCACGATAAATATTTCCAAAGTGCTCTTTGATTTCCCTACTTTACAAGAACATATCTGAAAAATGGGTTTAATAGTTAACCTACCTCAGGATATTGGGGAGACTAAAGGAGAGAGATAATGTGTGAGAAACCACTAAGTGATCCTGCGTGAGAGGCTTAGGCAGCCAGGAGGTCAAGCGAGTACAGGATTCCTGGGATCGAAAGGGACCACCAAAATGTAAAGGAGTCCAAAGATAAAGTGAATGCCTTTGCAGGATTCCCCATTGCCAGCTCAATGCTTTCAGCCTATAAACAGCAGATCTGATCTGACTTAGGACTCAAGACACGCATCTGTACAGTGTGTGAAGACTAACATTATATGGGCAGACTTGTATATTAGAGTTTCTGACTACTTCACTACTGTGAGGGTAGAGTCGATTTGGAATTAAAAGATATTTTGATCAATAGTATTCACCTTGTGCTGTTGCCTGGGAATTCCCCCAGGACACCACACTGGAGCAACTGCAGGGCTTGCTTTCCTTGTTTATCTTTCCTCAAAGATCACTGTCCAGTACCTTGAAAACTGTTGTATCATGTTTTATCCAGGTTCTTGGTTGTCTCAGGTGAGAGAATGCATCTTCTCCCTGTTAGTCCACCATGGTGAAAGGGACTAACTAGTTCTGTACTATGCAGGGAATACCTTGGTGTTCCTCAGACCTCTAGGGTCTACAGGCTTCACTGATGTGCCAGGTCCCTGAAGTCTTTGTAGGGCTTATCTATACCCTTCAGGTGTGCATGTGTCTTATCAATAATCCAGTGTGCTTTCTTTTT